CATACATCCGCTCGAGATTACAGGACAGCGGAGAAGGAAACCCCGCAGATGCGAAGCAATGTAGCGGGATTCTTTTAATGGAGAGAAATAAGAGGGGAGGGGCAGGAGGGAGGGAGGGAGGGTAAATTCCGGGGAAACTCTCGTGCGAGGGCGCTCGCTCTGGCGGCTGTTTGATGTGCTGGCTGGCCGCGCCCACGCGCTCTGTGATTTCTCCCTGGTTACTGCTCGTAAGCTGAAAGAGATGTCGCAATTCACGGAAAGAGAGAAAGAGAGAGAGAGAAAGAGATATAAGGGGAGAGAGAAGGGAGGGATGTAGAGAGAGAGAGAGAGAGGAGAGAGAGAGAGAGAGAGAGTAGAGAGAGAGATGAGAAGAGAGAGAAGAGAGAGAGGAGAGAGAGAGAGGAGAGAGAGAGAGAGGAGAGAGAGAGAGAGAGAGAGAGAGAGAGAGAGAGAGAAGAGAGAGAGAGAGAGAGAGAGGAGAAGAGAGAGACGAGCAGAGAGAGAGAGAGAGACGGAGGAGATGAGAGAGTAAGAAGAGCAGAGAAGAGAGAGACGAGAGAGAGGAGAGGAGAGCGAGAGGAGGAGGAAGGGACGAGAGCAGTATAGGGAGAGAGAGAGAGAGGCGCGGCGAGAGGTGAACGGTAATAGACGATGGAGAGGGGATGAGGAGAAAGAATTGCACTCTCATCTGCACTGCGCTGAGCAATAGGAGATACGCATATTTATCAAGAGCTAATAATACCTAGAGTGTACAGACGGAAAAAACGCGGAAAATAGTGCTATTTCACGACAACATTATTCTACTTTGCCTGCGAGTCTATAATAATTTTCATGGTATTGCATTAAGCCAGAATTCTTTGCTCTCTAAAACAAGACCAACCGCTTGTCCAATACGATACTCCTAGCGGAGATATCGGCTCCTAAACCTCCCCTCCCACATGCAAACGCCGCCTCGAATCCACTTCTGTCCCCATCCTTCACGCGGCTAAGCGTTGCTTCGTGAGAGTTCGGTTTTCCGCCATAATTTTATGAATGATTTTCGGGTGCAGGGCAGGGTGAGGTGACTTTCGGGGGCATCGCCTATGCCCTTATCTCCCATTATCTTTCCTAGTACGGCTAATGCCCGTTCCTGATAGAGCCGGCAATGTTTTTTTAATTAAGTCTCTACAACGCAGCTAGTAAGAGTACCAAATTTGGGCATGTGACATCAATTATCAGCGCTCAAGCGGTGACGGAAACCGATAGCCGAAATGCCTTAGACGCGTGAAGGATGGGGACAGAAGTGGATTCGAGGCGGCGTTTGGCATGTGGGAGGGGAAGGTTTAGGCGAGCCGATATCTCCGCCTAGGAGTATCGTATTGAAAGCCGGTTGGTCTTGTTTAGAGAGCAAAGAATTCTGGGCTTAATGCAATACCATGAAATTATTATAGACTCGCAGGCAAAGTAGAATAATGTTGTCGTGAAATAGCACTATTTCCCGTTTTCCGTTGTACACTCTAGTATTATATTAGCTCTTGATATTATATATATATATATATATATGCGGAGATCGCGTGTGACATATCTTGGAGGCCATCGTGCATGCGCGACTGCCTATACATCGCCTGTATGCACGAAATGGAAAAAATAATGCCAGCGCTATGACATTATAATACACCACGGAATCACCATCGAACAACGTAGTAAGAAAGCTCGTGTATGCCACAACGCACCCTCCCCCAAGATCGCAATCATTGGAGGCTCATACGGAGATTCGATTAAAGACTGGTACACGCAGGCACCTGTTGACGCTTCCCCACGTTGTACGCCAGGGAACATATATATTGGCGACAATTTATGTCCATGATTAACGCCCTGATAATATCGATATATGAACAGTGTGGGGAATTGGTTTGGCCGGCGCCCGTAAGGGTTAGTGATTTGGTTTGTGTTCTTGGGGTTGTCTTGTCCCGAAACCTTAATCTATGCCTTAGTGAAGGAAGGTCGATAGAGTAGAAAGAAAGAAGAACGAGCGGACAGAGAGGAGGGACGAGAAGAGCAGCAGAAGAGGGCGAGAGCAGGGAAAGAGAGAGAGACAGATGAGCGAGAGAGAGAGGGAGGGGATGGGGAGGGGACGGGAAGGAGGGAAGCAGAGGGAAGAGAGCAGAGGCGAGGGAGGGAGCGAGAGAGCAGAGAGAGGGGAGGGAGGGAGGGAGCGATGGGAGGGAGGAGCAGGAGGAGGGAGAGAGGGACGGGAGAGAGGAGAGAGAGAGGAGAGAACATACAGGAACTTACACCTATTTCTTTCCGGTTTTTCAACTTGCAGTAGCAACATTAGTACAGTAGCCTCTCCTCCAACCCCACCACTGACTGCCCTCTGCCTCATCAGATCTCACTATCCAACTCTTAAACCAACACGTGCGCATCCCGCCAAGGCAGTGCTTTTCTGGTGGCAAGCAAACACGATCTAGATCCAAGCGGATTTAATCGAGTCAGCAAGAAGACGAGGAGTTATCCTCTGGTTATTTACGACTATGCTTGACGAGTCTGACGACTGTTTTGGCTACGAGAGCGCGTCATTCTTAGAGTTGGAGGTAGCGACAGCCGAAAAGATGCGGAATATAGTGGAGAGAACCGTTCACAGAGAGGCGTAAACAGCTCATGAACTGCAATAGCTGTCACACCAGGAAACGCGCATGCCACGCACGGCAGACGCACACACAACACCACGCAGCGCACGCGACGAGCGCACAACGATCACACGGACACCAGCACGCACAGGCACACGCACACACAAACGCACACTCATACACACAGTATTCTATGAGAGAAACTAGAATGATCAGCAATTGCTATGTCACGTGGTACAGTCCGGCCCTTCAGAGCAAAGCCGAGCGAAATACAGTCTTCCTAACAAAGACAAGAGCCATTTAAGGCTCTCAATCTAAACGGAAAGAATGCTTCCGTGTTCGACGGTGAAATACTAACAGGAAAGCTCCGCATTACCACCGGCAACGCTCAACAAACTACACGCACACGACAAAGACGAATACGTATAAACGCCTATGTGTGGTATTGCATACTGATTGATCCCAAATAGCTCAGGATCAGCCGTACGGAGAGAGAAGCGGCCGAGGACAGTGACAGCATCATTGTGTTGCTTTCATACACCACCTTGCAAAACAAGAAAAAAACAACATCGTCATTGAGATGTTATGTGGACACGCGATATGCGTCTGCATCACTTGGCAACCTACTCTCAATAGCAAGCAAACAGATCTGCCTGCCGAAACAAAGCCTGTTACGATATTGAGTACCGTACCCCTCAGGTAGGTATTGAGGTTACGGTATTGAGGTACCGTACCCCTCAGGTAGGTACTGAGGTTACGGTATTGAGGTACCGTACCCCTCAGGTAGGTACTGAGGTTACGGGTATTGAGGTACCGTACCCCTCAGGTATTCATGACTGATGTACCACTGCAAACGAGTACAACTGCAATGATTCTTCATCCGTATTCACAATTCACAATACTGCGTTTCCCCTGTATCCTAACATAAATGTTAGTTCCCGTGTAAGTTCTGAAATGATTTATTTTTTTCATGTGTGCGCATAATAATCTGATTTGTATGAAAGACACAAACACAAAACATACATTGTGAGCACATTTACGTTTTTGCACCTTTCATCCACATAGTGTCATGCAGACACAAGCACAGCATCACGAAATGCAGCTTTGAATCGAAAAAAACAGCTGGAAAATTTTGAATTTATCCTCGTAAAGTAATATGACATGGCATCCCACGAACAATGCAGCTTGGTCACACGTGCGCAAACGCATTTCACCATTTGAAGGTGTTGAATCGTGTTTTGTCACGTTTTTCGTTTATTCACACACTATATCTATATATATTTACAGGCGAAGCCCGTAGCAACACTAGATGTATACAAACGGATGTTTGGGGCACACGAACAAATGCTGAGTAAGCGCAGAGGGTGGCAGAATAAGAGAAACATCAGAGGCAGGAAGCACAGAGGAGCACAATAACAACAGCCTGGGAACACAATGACAGTAGCAGGGGCACGTGTACAGGCATTTGTACCAGCGGGGGGGTTCGTAACCGTAACAAAACTTTGCGAGCGGCGCGGGTCGGTATGGGGAGCCCTCCCCCAGGAAACAGTTTGAAATTAGATACCACCCTCAGATGCGTTTTTCTGCGCGAGCAGGGGGGGTCCGAACCCCCCCCCCCCTTGTACACGCCCTGAGTAGCCGGCAGCACTAAGCGGCGCACACCACAACAGACGGTAGCACAATGAACAACTTGGAATCACAATAGACAGTAGCTTGCGGAAGCACAGCCTACAGCATCCAGGAGCACAATGACAGTAGTTGAAGCACAACGACACGCATCCAGGAGCACATATGACAGTAGCTGGAAGCACACGACAGCCATCCAAGGGAGCACGAATGACAGTAGTTGGAGCCCACAACGGACAGCAATCCAGGAGCACAATGACAGTAGTTGCGAAGCACAACGACAGCATCCAGCGCAGCACGAATGAACAGTAAGCTGGATAGCCACAACGACGCATCCAGGAGCCACAATGACAGTAGTTTGCGAAGCCCACAACGCACAGCATCCAGGCAGCACAATGGCACAGTAGCTGGAAGCACAATGACAGCATCCAGGAGCACAGATGACAGTAGCTTGAAGCACAACAGACAGCATTACAGCCGAGCGCACAATGACAGTAGTTGGAAGCCCACAATTCTAACAGCTGGGGGCCACAAGCGACAGCAGTCAGTAGCGCATTAGAGCACAATGACCATGATCCATCGCCGCCCGCACGCTCGCTCCCTCGCTCCACGCGACACGACATACCTTCTCCGGCCCACCTCTCGCCCACAGAGTGTCGCGGCAGGGGAGGTTTATCGGAGGTCCGGCTCCTTCGGTTGACGGTTCTTCTTCACACGCAGCCAGCATATTGCGCTTGTAGGAACGGGTCGAAGCGAAGAGCCATAGTCGACCGCGAGATGCCTGTCGTTACTCCTTCACGGCCTCCGTGAAACTTCCTCAATGTTTCTCCTCCTCCATCGCCACCAGCAGCTTCTGCAGCGCCGCGCGAGGGACAGAACACTGAGAGTTAACGCGTGTCATCAAGCCACGCAGCGTTTCGCCGCGCGCACGTGTGTGCACCGCAGGTTTTCGCCTGCCCGCGCACGGTGTGTGCACGCAGCGTACGCACGCGCGCACGTGTGTGACGCAAGTTCGTTTCTGCCGGACGTGTGTGCACGCAGGCACTACGCACGCGCACAGTGTGTGCCACGCAGAGTTCGTGCTGCGCGCACGTGAGTGCACGCGGTACACGCGGCACCTGTGGTGCACGCAGCGTACGCGCGCGCACGCGTGTGCTGCACGCAGCTGTTCCTGCGCGCGCACGTGCTAGTGCCACGCAGGTACGCGCGCGCCACGTGGATGTTGCAGCAGGGTACGCAACGCGCACGTGTGTGCACGCCAGGTTCGCGCGCGCCACAGTGTGTGCACGCAGGTTCAGCTGCTTTCGCCGCACGTGTTGCACGCAGGCTACGCCACGCAGCACGTGTGTGCACGCCAGCGTTCTCGGCCAGCGCGCACGTGTGTTGCCGCAGCGTGTCGCGCGCGCACGTGTGTGCACGCAGGTACGCGCGCGCACGTTTGTAGGCACGCACGCGCACGTGTATGCACGCAGGTACGCACGCGCACGTGTGTGCACGCAGGTACGCGCGCGCACGTGTGTGCACGCAGGAAACGCGCCGCGCATGTGTGGCACGCACACACGCACATGTATGCACGCAGGCACGCACATGTATGCACGCAGGCGTGCACATGCATGCACGCAGGCACGTACATGTATGCACGCAGGCGCGCACATGTATGCACGCAGGCGCGGCCACATGGTATGCACGCAGACACGCACATGTATGCACGCATGCACGTACATGCATGCACGCAGGCACGCACATATACATCGATGAATATATGTAAAACGGAAATGTCGAAATGTACCAATACGGAGTGTTGTTTTTTATTACGAATGCGACCTTTTCACACGACATGTCCATTCATCAGAGCTACACGTGACAGCGGTGACTGACTGCGCCAACCATCGACAGAAATAATTCATGAGCGCGCGTTGTCGGCATTGCGTGCAACTGTCACCACCGTGTCCCCCTGTCGTCGCCCGTGCACATAGCAGGAATACACGAGCAAACGCGTTCGATAACAGTCAGCCACTTGCGTGAGGTTGAGGTAAGGGGCCCGCACACATATACATGCTGCAGTTCGCTCGCGAGCACTCTGACGGGCTAGGAGGTGTTCCCAGGTGAGAATTCGCGGGCAGCAGTTGCTTATTGATTACGCGCGAAAGACGACGCGAGCATGACAATGACGTGGCTTCTATGTGGGAGCGTTAATTAGGCTGCAATCATCTCGCAGATGCTGCTACGCATATGAAAGGCTTTTCCATTGAGCTCTGTAGCCTTATGCATCGTGTCAACTGGCATACACTAACGAGACATTTATTAACGAATGACAGTGTCGCACACGTGTCTGTAGTACGGCCAAATGTAGGTCTTCTACACTTTTATTTAAATACAGTACACAGTCTATTATCCGAAACCCTTGGGACCAGACACGTTTCGGAATTCGGAATTTTTCGGATTTTGGAATGGTAGTACAGTACATATATATATACCGTATATCCTGCAACTAGCCAATACTAAAATCCAAGTTTTCAAGAGGCCAAGTGCTGTACCAGTACAGTACAATATGTATGAGTAATGCCAAACACATTAATATTCGTTGGGTCAAGTTTTGTCACCAAATGCAAGCTTTGGTGTGTAGACGACCTCCACGAAAAAACTTTCAGTTTTCGGAGCTTTTCGGTTTTTAGAATTTCAGATAATAGATTGTGTACTGTAAGTTCACTATTGATAAGTTTAATAGATTTAAAAAATAATGACTAAATTGCATAATAAAATTAGTTAGCAATCGCAAAACTATAAGCAAGGGTTAAAGGGGAACTAGTGAGCAATGGGATGCTAAAGCATTTCATACTCGCAACTCCCAACTTTTATGAAGAAATACCAACACATTAGCATCATGGGTAGCAGCACAAATGTGTCAGGTCGTGTCCCCTTTACATCCAACTCAAGCGATTGCAATGGCCACCTTCGTCCCCCAAACCGGTGAAATCCCCCCACAACTTCACTGTTCGCTAACGAAATTCACAAATCTCTCACTAGACCTGCCGTCTAAACACTGACGCTGCTGCTAACGGCTAGCGGCGTCGTAAAGGACGTTTTTTCATCCAAATATCATTACCTGCCTCACCAGTTCGCCGTTTATTTCGTCGCATCCGTGCACGTCCGACAGAAAAACTTCTCGCTAACGACTGCTGCCTCAGCGAGCGCATCGCCTCGGGTTACGAGGCTCGGCATTTAGCGTCGCCTCAGAACATCGTCATGTTTACGAGCAAAGCGTTTACGCCCGCTGCAATACATCGCCGCGGTTACAAGCTCGTCGGCTACGGCTAAGTTAGTGCATCGTCATGGTAACCAGCTCTGAATCTATGCAGGACGCGCGGCGCTACGTACCGATACTAGTTTGTACTCCCTGGCGTCCTGGAATGCTGGGAACATCTCTTCGTACTTTTTCAGTGCATGCTGAAATCATTTAGAGCTTGTTTACATCAGCGTAATGACATGATGAACATACATGTACAGGCACATCACAACTCATTGATAGCGGCCAGTTGTTAGATAAAAAAAATGGAAATGAGAAAAAGTGGCAGCATCCTCACATCCACAGTTCATCCGCTAAGCAAAACACAAACAGCAAATCAAAGCCGCAAACAGAAAAAAACTTGTTACACATTTTTTTGTCACTGTGTCCCCCATGGAGCTTAGTGACTCAGCAAGTGTATTAGTTAGGTATCTGTAGCAAGCTTCGCCCACCAAAGCTACTCGCTTTCTGGGGTAAAGGTTATTAGGTTCTTATAAGACTCTTGTAAAGGCTCTTAATCCTGTACACTAAACGCATTTCTACAGTAGATTTCACCTAAAGCAAATCAGGATAAGTGCCTTCTATGAATTCTCATCATAGAATAATTTCGGTATGGCCTCTGACAATCTAATAATGCGCACATGGAAAAATCATTCTCATAGTCATCAGACCAATTTAATTAACTACTGGTTTTACTCTAAGTGCTGTTTAAACACATACAATACACATATTCATCCACACAAATTAGTAACACTGACCAAAAATAGAACATTTATCTGGACCGATAAAATGTGTAGCCGAACTGTAACATCCTAAATTCTTTTCTCAACAACCCCACCACACGCACACGCACACACGCACGCACGCACCTAAATCATAACTGCAGCAATAATTTTACCTGCGCATTCAGCACATCAATGCACATGTGGCACAGCATAGCTTTGAAGAAATACTCCTTGGCACTGTACTTCATCAATGTAGAGTCTATCGCACCCGCAGCAACCTACAAGAAAGCAGGTGGCATGAGAGATGTGTGGGAGGAAACACTGCAACATCCATTTACCAGTCACTACCCATTTTACATTTCATATTTATTTACAGCATGGCGCTTTACATTTCATAATGGTTTAAATTTTTAATAACAGCAAGTAATTACTTTGAATTTGTGCATGAATGAATCTGAATATCAAATAAATTCATATTCAAATTTGAATTTGTAATGAGCAGTGCCATTTACATAGCACTTTACTGAAACATTATATCCATATATCAAGAGATGAATTGTAGAGAACCATATAATACACAAACAAACTCTACCTTCTCGTAGATCTCTATTGCCTTTTCGAACTGTCCGAGCTGTGCTGCATACTGCGCCACCTTCAGGAGGCATTTGTTAGCAGAGCTGCGAGTGCAAAACATTTCGATTTGCTATACTCAATTACTAACCAGGAAATGGCAGAGGAAACAAAGTTAACGTCCAAATTATGATTAAAAAAAGTGTGGTAACTACACAATTTGAAACAAGTAGCTAGTTGTATAAATTATAACTACAATATAACAATCTCCAGTCAGCCATGGTTAGTCCCACAATTTAGCATAGATCTAGAAAATCTACAGGCCAATGCTGTCGCGTAGACACAGGCTTACGGGCAAATTCAGTATACACACATGCACGCACGCATGCATGCACGCACGCACACACACATTCGGATGAAGAGCAACTGTACAAACCTCTTCGATTCTTCACCCGCATAGTAATCAGCAGCTTTCTGATAATTTTGCATTGCCTAAAATAAACAAAAACTAAAGTAGGTCTCATGAAAATATCAGTACAATACAATTACACAAATATTTCAACAGTAGTCAGTTGTGCTGCTTACTACTCAGTCGGAGATCTCGAGCTTAGAGCATCACAATGGGTGTGTGAACTTCACGAATACGTACCCAGGCTAATCATTCATGGAACACTGACGCCATATATCATTCTAATTTCACTCATTTACTACATACAACTACCTCATTTACCTACCTATTTTTGTGCAATAATAGTAATAATACACAAGACACACGTAGAGGTATAACAATTTATCAATAGAATCATTCTAACAGGATGCTCCAGAGAATTTAGTCCATCATGATAACGCAAAGCTATATCATGTGACGAACCACACAGTTAACTAGACAGAGGGCACTCACGGAGAGTGCATACCTCCGCCAGCATGTAACCTGTATGTGTTACGAGCTGGCTTGCCACTCGCTGCTGGCTGCTGCTGACTGACTGGCCTGCTGCTGACTCGACGCGCTAATATCGATCGCGCGAACACACACACGCGCTAACACGTGTGCACACGAACGCACGAGAGCGATCACATTACCTCCCCTCCAACTCCGTTGGGCGGAGGTAATAAAGTCGAATAAATACCATGATACATCTTACATCGTGGTCTAAATATCATGATACACATTATATCATGCTCTAAACATCGTGATACGTCGGGTATTGTCATCACACGATGCTCGTGTACACCACTAGAGACTGGTGTAGGTAATAGAGGAGTACAGGAGATGTGTTATGTATACTAGGGTGCTACAACTATATGAACAAGGAGCTGCGTCATGGACATACGCACTTTTTCCAAGTCGACAATGTCCGACTCGTATATCTCGGCCATCGTGATGTGGTGCTTCGCCGCTATTGTGAAACGTCCCTGAAACATGAACGCGTTTCCCAATGACTACGTCCACACCCAACGATTATACAACGTAAACAATGTACGAAAATTAACGGAACTGATATCACGTACCATTGGCATTTGGCATTCACCATAAATAACCCTTAGTTGAACTTAAAATGCTGCTACAAGCTGGAGTAGTGTAATCCTTTAAATAAATCACTGATTGACACCTCTATATGTTTACAGGGGTACGTCTAACATGCTCGCGACTACAATAAGCAGTACACCTACCATGTCGGTAAAGATCTCAATGCCTTTCGACAGTGTTCTCACGGCCTCTGCAAAAAAACGATGCAGATTTGATAAATGCTTGAGAACACCATTGCCTGTCACAGACACAAATCTTCCCAATGGAACAAACCACATAGGATTACTGGATTATTTAGTACATCCATTCAAACCAATCACAAAATAGCTATATATATATTTGTGCATTCCACAGACTTTTAAATACTCAGTAATACATTTACTAGAGCAGGAAGATGGGTTATATCGTTTACATTGTAGCAATCAGAACATCCCGGGCATTAGACAAGGAATTAACTTAAGCAAAATGGCAAATTTCCTTCATCAAGGGAGTAACCGCACTGACCATTGTTGGACCTTACCACCAGACCACGAAGCCCAAAGTTCTGAGGAACGTTCTCAGAAAAATCGCAGTTCGACAATCATTATCAGCGGGGTATTTTTACACTGGAGACCAACACTACGATGACTAAAATCCTTCTGACAACACCCATACCACACCAAGTACCTCACCTACCCACCAGCTCCTCCCCCATCGAGGAGACTAGATAATTAACGCGTGACCTCACCTTCAGGGTCGGACTTCTTGAAGCTCGTCGATGCGTCGACGTAGTTCTGCGCTGCCTCGTGTTTGCTCTGCATCTTCAGGTGGATCTCGGCCGCGTCGCAGAACGCTGTGCCCGCAGCTGCAACGATGCCGGAAGTGTGCGTGGGAGAAATACGTGTGAAACAACGTGAATAACGCGCGAAGAAACACGGGCAAAACAACGCGAATAGCGAGTGGAGAAATACGCGCGAAACAACGCGAATAGCGTGCGGAGAAACACGGGCAAAACAACGCAAACAGCGCGCAGAGAAATACGCGCGAAACCACGTTTTGATCACAAGATAGAAAAACGTGTGGAACCACTTTTTGAACATAAAAATCATGTGAAACCACATCTCAAACATCAAAATCAATTGAAACCACATCTCAAACATCAAAATCAATTGAAACCACATCTCAAACATATAAAAATCATGCAATGTCAGGGTGCTACAATTTTTTTTCCCCCACTTGCCCTGTTGGGCAAGTGGGTTATGAAACTGGTAGCCCGGAGGCGAATGTCACTTGCCCAAAAAACATAAAGAAACACATACGATTTTTTTATAATATGAATTTAAATGGTAAATTACGTAAATGAAGGTCCAACCAGTCAACATCCAGCATTTCACTTAACGGCACAGTAGAAAGTTGAACAGCTGATACGTGTTTGTATACAAAATATATTCATGTTGGGGGACAGCACGCAGTTTGTTTTAATTGTTTAAGTGTCACTTTATTATCAAAACTCCACCACACTCTCACAATAATTTAATAAAATATGTTCAGGTTTATTTGGGGCTGGATCGTAAGCGCAGAGAATATAACTGTGCATGCATGCAGATATAATAGACTGACAGCACAGTATACAGTGTATCTGTTTTTGTGTACTTCAGTAAAGAAAATCCCCGTTCACAGGTTGCAGTAGAGGGGCAAACATTTGATTTGAGGTAGCTGATCACGTAACGACTATGCCTGGCCTGGGGGCCGGGTTTACATGTTGCTGTGTGCATGTTGTGTATATATATGACCAGGGGTAGAAATGAACTTTTGAACACGGGAGTCCAACAGAATCCCTACCCTCAAAAAGAGGGAGTCCGCAGTCGGAGGTTCAAAATTAGAGATATTAACATTAACGCATGTGCTTATTTTTAAGATTCTTGCGGTTGCACGTCTGCCAAATTTTCTCTGGACATTAGCTGAAAAAATACGGTAATTCCGTGAGGCCGTGCTCCGGAACAAACTAGTTAGTGTGGCCGAATTTTCAGGGAGTTACACGGACTCCTGCATATATGTCAAATCAGGGAGTCCGACAGTAAATCATGGAGTATTTGACTCCGGACACCCGTTAATTTCGCACCCTGTATGACTGTATGCACTGATAGTTTCATTCGCATTGTGTGTTTTTTATATTCAAATCTCGTGGCAGCAAGGTAGCTTATGTCTGTGCAAAACAATGCAAGGAACCGATGGAAACAGAAAAATATCATTATGTCTAGACATTCAATAAAAAAAAACTTGTTGCCCAATCGGGCAAGTGCAATTTCAAGCTACTTGCCCGGGGGCACATTTTGGTTGCCCCAGGCAAACGGGCAAGCGGGTTTGTCGCGCCCTGAATGTTTACATCCATTGAAAAACAAAGATAACAAGTGACGCAGAGAGACAGCGCTCACCTGACGTGTACTGTAGCTGGGTATTCTTCTGATAAACTCACTGTCAACCGAATCAAGTGCGCCCTCCCGCCACCGCGTTGATAGGATTTGTTATACCGGTAGTACAGAAATAAAGATATAGCTGTGTCGCTTTAATGACTTCGCTATATTAATGAGAGAGAGGAGAGACATGACAGGAACTTACACCTATTTTTCCGAGTTTTCAACTTGCAGTACAACATAGTACAGTACCTCTCTCACCCCACCACTGACTGCCTCTGCTCTCAGATCTCACTACCACTCTACCAACCAACGTGCGCATCCCGCGCAGACAGTGCTTTCTGGTGCAAGCAAAAACGATCTAGATACCAAGGGATTTAATCGAGTCAGCAAGAAGACGAGGAAGTTATCGTCTGCGTTATTTACGACTATGCGTGACGAGTCTGACGACTGTTTTGCTACGAGCAGCGGTCATTTCTTAGAGTGGAGGTGCGAACCAGCGAAAAGATGGGAATATATGTGGAGAGACACGTTCACAGAGAGGCGTAAACAGCTCATGATAACTGCAATAGCTGTCACACAGGAACGCATGCACGCACGCACACGCAAACACAACACACGCACGCACGCACGAGCGCACACGCACACGGACACGCACACGCACACGCACACGCACACACACACGCACACTCATACACACAGTATTCTATGAGAGAAACTAGAATGATCAGCAATTGCTATTCACGAGGTAAAGCCGAGCGAAATACATCTTCCTAACAAGACAAGAAGCCATTAAGTCTCATCTAACGGAAAGATGCTCCGGGTTCGACGGGGAAATACTAACAGGAAGACTCCGCGATTACCAAGGCAACGCTCAAACAAACTACACGCACACCGACAATGACGAATATCGTATAAACGCTATGTGTGTATTGCATACTGATGATCCCAAATAGCTCAGGATAAGCCGTACGGAGAGAGAAGCCGGCCGAGGAAGTGACAGCATCATTTGGTTGCTTTCATCCACCACCTAAAAACAAGAAAAAAAGAACATCGTCATTGAGATGTTAGTGTGGACACGCATATGCGTCTGCATCCACTGGCAACCTTACTCACATAGCAGCAAACAGATCTGCTGCTAAACAAAGCCTGTTACGTCCAACTGTTGACGAACGCACGGATGGACACACGGACGCACGCACAGACGCACGCTTATGCAATTCTACAAGCTGCATCTGACTATTTCAGATGAGCTAAAAACATTAGACAATATAAAAAATAATAATAGATTACGTACGAAACCACGTCCAAAACACGAAAACGCACGTCCGAAGCACATCTGCACGAGACATAAAATTAAACCACAATTAAAAGCACATTGAAAATACATCACAAACATATAAACACATGCTGGGGCACTGCATCAATTCTTCTAAAAATACTCATTTAGATTGTGTTTAGGTCGACTGCATACCACTCCATTTCTTGGCCATCTTGAACATGTTGGCTGCCCTGATGTAGAGTTCTGCAGCTTCCTCTTGCTTGCCTGACCCGCTCCTGCAAGGGGCACAGAAGCAATTTAATAACATATATGCAAAACTATAAATACCGGGGTCTGAAACTAGGCATGAGCAGACAAAACAGTTGTGCGTATTACACTTTGACCACACTTTACGATGATGAACCGCATTACCTCAGAGCTGCTATGCAGTATGTATCACTTGTAATTATACGATTTAAAAACCAGTTAACAATATATTTAAGTGCCTCTGTTAGGGTGCACATTGTGTTGCTGCAAGAATCGGGAATTCTGGGGGGGGGAAGGTCAGCAAAACGACTGGGATTGAGACTGTGAATGTGATGTCGTAATGACGTAACTTCGCAAGCACTAGCTGAGCAAGATCCAATAATGTAACCCAACAGGAGTAGGTTACAACGCGAGCCTATTCTTTTCTTTGGAGGAGCCCCTGAGTGATTCACTCAGGGCGGTTTTATGGTGCGTTTTTCAGGTCTAGAACTTCAAAACTGGGTTTATTCTAAACACGAACTTTTCTCCGCTATCCTGGGACTTACTATGTATCACAATACTCTGTATTAAACTAATATGACCTGTTACAAACTTTCGAAGTGATGAGCGGCGATATTTTGAGCGTCATTTCTGTTGACCTGTGACGTACGCATTCCCCATGCGCATAGCATTCGGCTACCTTCGGCTCCTGTGTTGCCTGACATGCTGGCTCTGGTGACGTCATGACTGACAGCAGACATCCCATGATGCATTCGATCTTGGAACAGAAGTTAGCCGAACGCTATACGCATTGGGAATGCGTACGTCACAGGTCAACAGAAATGGCGCTCGAAATATCGCCGCTCGTCACTTCGAAATTTTGTAACAGGTTATATTAGTTTAATACAGAGTATTGTGATAGGTACATAGTAAGGCTCATAGGGTCTATGTCCCCCAGGGTACTGCCGGAACGTACCCTGGGTACGGTCCGGTATACTAGAACGTACCCTGGTCACTATTTGATATGGTTAGGGTTAGGATTAGGGTTAGGGTTAGGATAAGGTTTAGGGTTAGGGTTCGGGTTAGGGTTAGAGAGTATGCGTAGGCGAGTCCCTAGACTCGTTAGTGGAGTAGGCTAGGTACGGTCCGGCATATAATATAGTACCAGGGTACGTTCCGGTATACCGGACCGTACCCAGGGTACGTTCCGGCAGTACCCCGGGGGACATAGACCCTATCAGCCATAGTAAGTCCCAGGATAGCGGAGAAAGGTTCGTTTAGAATAAACCCAGTTTGGAAGTTCTAGTCTCGAAAAACGCACCATAAAACCGCCCTGAGTGAATCACTCAGGGGCTCCTCCAAAGAAAAGAATAGGCTCGCGTTGTAACCCTACGAAGATTGTTTATCAACTTGTAACCACCATTTCTCGTTGCGCACGCTCGCGCGGTTCCGGTGCTAGTGAGCGGGCACAATGTATTTCCAAGTGGAGGGGTGGGCAGGTTGCACGCGGTTGCAAACCGCGCTAGCTGGCCGAAAAATGGCTGCCCACCCCTCCACTTGGAAATACATTGTGCCCGCACACTAGCACCGGAACCGCGCGAGCGTGCGCAACAAGAAATGGCGGTTACAAGTTGATAAACAATCTTCGTCGACGAGTAATATCACAAGTAGGCCTACAATATTTAAGCGATAGTTACTTAGTTTGCTGTTGTATTTTAGTGTTCATAGTAACTTAAGACATTTGTCTGGCAGAGAATGTGTTTTATTTGGCATACCGAAGAAGTTATTATAGGCTAAAAGTTGTGAGAATATAACTCATACGCAGTTGCCATGTTACGCTCTATAGCCCTGCGGCAACTGTACGCGGGCTATAGTTACTACACTAGAGCTAAGCTGAGCCTGTGACTGTGTGACTGTGAGTGTGTGAGACTGCCCCCCATAAAAGCACAAACATGATGACATGCTGCATGTATCCCCCCTGTGTAGCGTCTGTGTTGTTATGAGCGAGTGATGTGTTACCACAACTAGAACAGTGAGTGTAAATAATCCCTAGAGTCATTTACGAGGATTTACTAGCACAGCAACAATTGGAAAACGCACCCGAAAAATGATCCAAATAGACCCGACGATCCTTTCGATTTCTTCTGAGCTTCTGCGATCAGTTGCATAGCTTTCTGCTCGTTGATATCTGCCATATTGTAATCAACAACTAAATATCACCGAGTTAGAGTAAGAGGTATATTAATAAAAACGGAAAGAAATATTACTGCTGCAGTGGTGGGAAATGTTATGAAAATGAAAACACAATTTCGTTGGCATGGTCCTCATACAGAATTTCTCTAAAGCATTATGGGTATAAACCAATGTCATCATAGACTGGTACCACATTTACTTACAAGTACAGACAGCAAGTGTTCGCAGCCGTGAGGCTTCGTCTATATATATATATATATTCCCATAATCCTGTTTGTCTGCTTAGCGAGTTTTTATACATTTTGACGCACTCAAATATTTAGTTAACGAAATAATAGAATATAAAATGTCTGCTGATACCATTGAAAATGACGTGGATGAAGAGGAGGAGGAGGGTGATACACTAGGGGATGAAGTCACAGAGGAAATGATAAGAAGGCAAAGCCTGGCTGCGGCGAGGAGAGGAAGTCGTCGGCCCAGTTCTGTTACCGGTCGGGCCGGTTCTGTTTCTGATCGGAACGGTTCTGTCTCCGGTCCCAGTCCCTTTGCCAACAGAAGACGAAGCAGTATAGCTCAGTACTTAACTACGTTAGAAGAAATAACACAAGTGCAAACAATTATTAACCAAGCAAAAGACGAGTATGGTGCGGTGGATCCGGTAGCGTTTAAACAAGTCAAAGAAGAACAAAAACAAAAATCCGAAAAACAAAAGATTCAAGAGTTTTTGGAAAATGCCAGCGCATTTCACAAGTTAATGTACACATTTTGTGAATCAAAGGCATTTTCTGGCTCAATCCTTGTCGTAATCCTGTTGAATACAGTCATGCTTGTGTCACAGACATTTGGCTATATATCAGTGAGAGCAGGTTCGTCTTCGTATGATAATAATATTATTATTATTAATGGCAAATACGTATCTCATGTAAAAGTATTTTAACTATAACACCAAAAGAGCTGTAATCTGAATCGCTTATTTTTCTTGATATACGTAATTAATTATACACAAATTGTATAAGAGATCAGGAATCGCAATAATAATTACCTAGTCGTGTTCGAAGTATGAATGAATGTTAACAATACTGTTTTTTTTTACTGCAGACTATTACTTTGGTGCTATAGATAGTTGCTTTCTTGGTGTTTACATCATGGAGTCAACTTTAAAACTTTACGTATATCGGGCTCGATTTTTCAGAGAAGGATGGAACATTTTAGGTAAGAAACGGCATTCGATATGTCTGCGATATACTGATGTAAGAAAAGTGGTGCATTCATAATTTGGAATCGATTGCATTGTAAAATCATAGCAATACTCAACATAGGGGATAAGATGTGATGATGACCACAAGTTACCTTATATATAGTCCCCTCATCATTCATGTAAGCACTCGATTCTTGTCATCGTTGTTAATTATACACTTACTCATACCAAACTGGCTATATATATACATACATACATAATACATACATGCATACATACATACAATGTAAATTGTAGCACATGAGAACGGCACATGTATATATATATACATTTATGAACCCTATGAATGTCAGCTAGGTCAGGTCTCCTCAGTTAATTTATCAATGTGCTCGTTATTTTTTAGATCTAACGATTGTCGTGGCAAACCTGGTTGACTTTGTTATGCCACTCGTGATCGAAAACATTGGTGGGTTTAACGGCGCAGCCATTTTTCGGCTACTTCGTATCTTCAGAGCGATCAGAGCTCTGAGAGCTCTCAGAGTATTGCGCACTATCAGGTAAATGACATTATTATATACCCAGTCCCTACTTATACCTTCCTTAAAGCAGATCCAGACTTATATTCAAGTCTCTTGTTGCTATAGTTACACATGTAAACTACATATGTATTCGTTTAAACTGTTACACACCAAGGTTTGTGAGGTGTAAAGGATTTGTTGGTGAAACTGTAATGCATGATCATGAATTGCCTAGCATACATTCTACGTTTGCCTTACACATTGCAGGTTCTTGAACAATCTTCAGGTGATCATGAACACGTGCCTACAGTCTGTCCAGTCTATGGGTGCTATTGTGACTCTCATGGCTCTATTTATCTGTATCCAACTGACAATAAATCTATTGGTGACATCGGTCAGAACATGTAGTTCGTTTTACATTTACCCTTGTGTAACAAGTGCATGAATGTCAAATTTACTAGATAAAATCATATACTGTCCAGCTGCTTTGTGCAAAATAACACGGAATTGTGATGAATTGTAACAAACTATAATATTCTGCTCAAAACTTGTTTTCTTAATGCATGTTGCCACTAACATGAACCACATGATTTGCCTCATAATAGTTTTAGTACCTTCACTGCTTGACCAGACATGTTTGCAGTGATTGGGCGTGGTCTCTACGCAACAAACGACCCTGACAGGTTTGGCAACGTGGGAATAGCTGCATTCACCCTGTTCCAACTTCTCACACTTGATGACTGGTTCTATATCTACAGGGATGTCACGCGTGAAGACAGTGGTAATGTTTCTTATCATTGATATTATTACCTTATTGAATATTATTGAGATAAACTTATCCCTAGAAGTAGAGGAAGCTAGGGTGTGAAGATCACTTAATTGTGGTTTTAGACGTAGGTATTGTTTAGTGTAGTGTTTTCAAAATATTTGGCTTATTTACTTCAACAAATTAAAGAAATGATTTTAAATAAATATTTATGTTACTCATGAACCTTAACAGTCAAACTTTTATGTTATTCACGCTTATCTTTTAGGAGCCTGGCACGTTTTTATCTATCTGGTCGTCTACATAGTCATGGAGTATTTCATATTTCTCAAGTAAGCTACTCTCCCTTGTCTGCTAATAATATAAAATCCTTGATCTGTAATATTGGGGGGTAGGACCAGTCTTGGAACCCCAGCCATTTATGATTTCAACAATCTTGACTTTTATTAGCTCAGCTGACGAAGTCAGATCCAGCTTGTAGAATCGCATGATTGTCCGTCTGTTCGTCCGTCCGTCCGTCCGTCCGTCAACAGTTGGGCACAAATATTAACCGCTCGACATACGGTTTTGATATTCGGGACGTCGGGGGGGTCGCGAAAAGGACTCAGGATGTCGAATTTTGGGTCAAGGGTCAAAGGTCAAAATGTGTTAATGGAGGGAATATTTCCCCCTTAACTTAAGGTATAGAAGGAAATACGGAATTGCGACACAAATCTCAACGGCTTGACCTATGCTCTTAATATTCGATGTATGGTGTGATGGGAAGGAAACCCATCACCAGCGCGAAATTGGAGGTCACAGGTCAAAAGGCAGTGGGGGAAAGGTCAGATATCAGACATTTTCTGAAGACATGGTCTAACGGACCGAGTGCAAAACTTTTTTGTTTCAGTGCTGACCTACCGTTTTTATCACTTTATTGAAAGGACCATGAAATCTACTTTCCGCTGACGTGCGAAGAGTAAGTGTCTGATAACATTTTGACCCTCAAGAGGAGGGTAAAACATAGATTTGTTGACTGTTAACAAAGGACTGAACTGCTTTTGCTATTAGATTGCTTGCTTGTTTATTGCTGTTCACTCTCACAGCGTTTTCTTCACAGCATTATTCACACACAGAGTTGTTCACACCCGCAGCATGGTTCACACCCACAGCATTGTTTGCACACTCAGCTTTTTCATCTGCACGTTGTTCACACTGCCAGCACTGTTCACACTCACAGTGTAAATTGTTCGCACCCACAGCTTCTTCATCCTTGCATTGTTCACGCCCACAGTGTAAATTGTTCACACCCACAGTGTAAATTGTTCACACCCACAGCTTCTTCATCCTTGCATTGTTCACGCCCACAGCACTGTTTACACCCACAGTTTGTTCATACCCCCAGCTTGCGCATCACCACATTGTTCACACCTGCGCAGTCTGTCCATATCACAGCATTGTTCACAACCACAGCATTGTTCACCTGTTCATGGGCACAGCGTGTTCACACTAACAACATATGTTTAACCCACAGCTTTGCTCATGCACTACATGGTTTAACCCATAGCTTGCTCCTCACTACAATTGTTTAATCCACAGCTTGCCCCTCACTACATTGTTTAATCCACAGCTTTGCCTCATCACTACCATTGTTTAAATCCGCACAGCTTGGCTCATCACTACATTGTTTAACCAAGCTTGCTCATCCACACATTGTTTACCCACAGCCTTGCTCATCACTACATTGGTTTAAGCCCACTATGCTTGCTCCATCACTACATTGGTTTAACTCCACAGCTTGCCCATCACTATCATTGAGTTTAATCACAGCCTTGCTCATGCATAATTGTGTTAAATCCACAGCTGCTCATATCCTACATTGTTTAACCCACAGCCTTGCTCATCACTAACATTGTTTTAACCCACAGCTTGCCCTCATCACTACATTGTTTTAACCCACAGCTTGCCTCCATCACTACATTGTTTTAACCCACACTTGCTTCCATCTCACTACATTGTTTAAACCCACAGCTTGGCTCATCACTACATTGTTTAACCCCACAGCTTGTGCTCATCGACTTACAATTGTTTAACCCACAGCTTCTCCATCACTACATTGTTTAATCCAGCAGCTTGCTCATCACTCACATTGTTTTAACCCACAGGCGCTTGCCCTCATCACTACATTGTTTAATCGGCACAGCTTGCTAATCACTACATTGTTTAACCCCCAGCAGCGTTGCTCATCACTACATTGTTTAACCCCACAGATTGCTCATCACTACATTGTTTAACCATTAGCTTGCCTCGATCACTACATTGTTTAATCCCAAGCCTTTGCCTCAATCACTACCATTGTTTAACCACAGCCCCCCCTTTGTCATTCACTACATTTGTTTAACTGCTTAACCCGGCCACAGCTTTGCTCATCACTGACATGTTTAACCCCCAGCTTCTACATCACTACACTTGTTTAAACCAGGTCAGCTTCGCTCATCCACTCACATTGTTTTAACCCAAAGCCTGCTCATCACTACATGTGTTTAATCGCACCAGCTTGCTCATTCACTACATTTGTTTAACCCACCAGCCTTGCTCATCACTACATTGTTTAACCACAGCTTGCTCATCTACTACATTGTTTAACTACACAGCTTTGCATCTCACTACATTGTTTAACCACCACAGCTTGCTCATCACTACATTGCTATCTAATCAGCAGCTGTGGCTCATCACTCACATTTGTTCAGCGGGACGACCCACAGCTTGCTCATCAACTAGACCTTGTTTAATCCAGCAGCTTGCTCATCAATACATTGTTTAACCCACGCTTGCTCATCACTACATTGTTCACCCGACCCACAGCTTGCTCATCCTACATTGTTTAATCCACAGCTTGCTCATCACTACATGTTTAACCCACAAGCGTTGCTCATCACTACCAAGTTGAGTTTAATCCCACAGCTTGCTCATCACTAACATTGTTACACGCCACCAGCTTGCTCATCACTAAATGTTTAATCCCACACTTTTGTCTCATCACCTACATTGTTTTAACCACAGCTTGCTCATCACTGACATTGTTTACCCCAGCTGCTCATGCACACATTGTCCTTAACTCCACAGCTTGCTCATACACTACAATTGGTTAAACCGCACAGCTTGCCTCGATCACTACATTGTTTACCCACGCTTGCTCATACTACATTGTTTAATACCACAAGCTTTGCTCATCACGTACATGTTTAACCAACAGCTTGCTCATGCACTACATTGTTTAACCCCCAGCATTGGCTCATCACTCCTACAATTGTTTAACCACAGCTTGCTCATCACTACATTGTTTTAATCCACACAGCTTGTCATCACCTACATTGTTTAACCCACAGCTTGTCCTCACCCGTGTTGTTCAGATTGACAATGACCAGTGTATGGTCCACACCCGCATGATGGTTCATCACGCGTTGTTCGTCACCCTCGTTCATCCACAGCGTTTTCGCATGCCCGCAGGCCGTGAGGTCAGGTCAGTGTCGTCGCCGGGCATTCTTCAATCACAGTCGTCTGTTCGCAGACCCGAAACTCTGTTTGGCTGCGCGTTGTTCATCGCACAAGCGTTGTTCGCAACTACCGCAGCCTGGTCGGTTACACCGATTGCTCGATGCACGACGGACGTTGTTACGCATCCGCAGCTCTGTTCATGCGCCTGCACTTCTCATCCACATGGCCGCTCCACGGCGTTGTTCGGCACCGCAGGATCCTGTTTGCTGCCGCCGTTTGTTCAACACACGTTGTACGCACCCCTCGTTCATCACAGCGCTTGTCGCACCCCACAGTCGTTCGTCGACGTTCTCCGTGCGACAACTTCCAGCTGACGCTGGAAGGAGGCGACCGGCAGAAGAAGCGCAAGCGCGCGGCGACCGAACGCCTAAGCCGGATGCCAGAACAGCGCCGACGACGACGAGTACCGGCGGCCGCCGTCAGACTACGCGCCGCGTCGGACCCACTGGTCGAGGGACAGCCGAGGACCGGGAGGCCGAAGGCCGCGCACGAGCGTGCGCGAGCTTTACGGACAGTGACGAACACACCGCAAGAGTACGTATAGGCGGGGCGCGGTGCGGGGCAGTGTTGAGGTGGGGCTCGTTCGGTGTGTGTGCGGGTGAGGGGGCCAGTGTGAAGGTGGGAGCGGTGCGGCGACACGTCGTGAAGGTGGGAGCGGTGCAAGAGGCATGTGAGGTGGGGGCGGATGCGCGGAGCAGTTGTGAGGTGGGGGTCTGTGTGTGTGCCAGGGCCGCGTGTGAGGTGGGCAGTGCGGGGCACTGTGGTTAGTGGTGCGGTGCGGGGCAGTGTGAGGTGGGGGCTTGTGTGTGTGCGCCGGGGAGGGCAACAGTGTGAGTTGGGAGCGGTTGCGGGGGCGACAAGTGTGGTCCGTGGGCAGCGTGCGGGCAGTTGAGGTGGGGGCAGTGATGAGGCTGGGAGCGGTGGGCGGAGGTAGTTGTGAGGTGGGGCGGGTGTGGGTGGCAGTTGTTTCGATCGGTGGGAGGCGGTGCGGGGCTAGTGTGAGGTCTGGGGGCTGTGTGTGTGCGGGGGCGATGCGAGGGCTCCGGTGTCCGGAGGTGGGAGCGCAGTGCGGGGGCACTGTGAGTGGGTGCGGTGCGGGCAGTGTGAGGTGGGGGCTGTGTGGTGGTGCTGTGTGCGTGGTGG